TATATAATTATATTATATATAATTCCTAATTTCACACACTGTGCTATTACGAAAACAGATTGCACTAATATGGTAAACATTACTCATAATTCGATGCGTCATGAAAAACATTAAACACCGAATGAATAAGTCTAAGTTTCGTTCGCTTTTTAATTGACGAAAAATGAAAAAAAAATACATGGAACATTTTTTTCACTCCTGACGTCACTTTGAAATCTTCTTTCTCGGGATATCAATTTCCTTTTCAAAGTTTTATAAATTTGTTATTCGAAATTGTTCTTTTTTTTTCACATATCATATGTGTTCATAATAGATAAATCTAGTCTAGAATGTATATTCATATTTAATAGTTTCTTGAACGGCAAATCTATCTCTCATTTTCACTCGTACATTTAATTTCGCGATGATCCTATTGCGGTGTCTATCTTAATATAAAAGAGTAATTAACTTAAGAAATAAAGATGTAAAAAGGACACTGGAAGAGTTCCAAGAAGAAAGATTCAACGAAAGTGACGTAATTGTGAATTATATGACAACATATTGCAGGGTTGATCGAATCGATCATTTTGCAAAGAAATTGATTTCCAAAATTATTCTCAAAAATGGATTTTCATCATACAGAGTGTCTCATAATTCGTAATCTTAATTTGACAACAATGACATATTCTCTTTGACAAGTTCAAAGTAAATTTTTCCTCAATGCAAATATATCGAGAGAGAGAGAGAGAGAGAGAGAGAAAGGTCACTTATCGCAATTTTTTAGATATTCTCGTCACAACATAAGATTCAAATTAAGATTCTGTCAAAAAATAAATTAATTTTAAAGATTAATTAAAAAATATGATTTTATATCCCTGTGTAAAATCTTTTTTTTTTTCCTATCATGTTTATAATTCAGATAAAGCTCTAGTTATTTATCCTCGTTAATTATTGCTAACAGTAAGGAAAAATAGACTCCGAAAATTCAGAGAGTCCGCTCATTAAAATCGAGGTCGCGAATTATGAAACACTTTTTATCTACCTGTAAAAAAAATATTCTTTTGTTTCTGTCGCGATAGAAGCGATAATGGAACAAAAAAACTGTATATACTAATTACCGTTCCTCGTAAGATAAGGAGGTTTCGCGATATATAACCGTTCTTTTTCAATTCTTGGAAAATGACCGATTGGAGAGGAAGGAGGGAGATTAACTCACCGAGACGAAGCTCCCCGAAGTTTCCACAGCCGATTTTCTTGCCGACCCGGAAGTTGGGGCCGACCATGAGCACGCCGGACGACGAGGTGACGCTGTGCCGGGACGAGTGCACGTTGGACCGGGCGGCATTACCGCTGCCCCTGGAGGTCCGCTTGGCGACCTCCTGCTCGCGCTCAGAGTTGCGAGCCCCGAGCTCCTTGTCGCCGCGGTTGTCCCTGCCGTCTCGTTTCTGCATCTCGTATCGGCCGTTGTTATCCACGGTTGCGGCGGATATTTACAAAAATAAATCCCACGACGCACGATCGGAATAAACTTGGACGATCAACACAGCTGCAGTCGCACGGATTTTTCACCACACTCGCTTCTCGACGACGACGACGACGACGACGACGACGATGTTAGTTTCTCGATCAGTGACGGGGATCGATCCTCGTGCAGGGCATATCTCGTATGCCCCCGGGAAGCCGCGGTCACCGCGACACGATAGAATAAGAACGGAACACGGCACGACACTCGTCGCAGTTTCCGCAAGCGGAAAAGGGCACGCGCGGGCGCGGTGTATACTAGGTGTATAGGGCGCGCGGAAGGGAAGGCGACGCGCGGGCGGCGACGTGGTGAGGAGGGGGAGAGCGTGCCGAGGGGGCTGGTTGACTGTCAGGGTTCGACGGACGATGCCACCTCCGAGGGAACAATCAATTCTCCGTGCCAGTCTAACCTCTCCGAACTAATGTTTACACCCTAGAGGAACACGACAGGGTGCGACGCGTATTCGAGGAAGCGTATCTCTTCCGGGATGCAACTTCTCCCAGGTTCACTTGATCTGGCGGGGCCTGGTCGACGATCGTCACGGGAGCGGAAGGAATCCAAGTACGAGACTCGATGCGGCGTCGAACAGCAACGTCGTCGATCCGGACGAGCCCATAGCAATTTCGACCCGCCTCTCGTGCCCGGCGATCGTCGCCGGGATGCCGGAACGACGAACGACGACTCGAGGAATCGCGCGGCTCACGCTCTGACGACGCGACGCAGCACGGCATTACCGTGGCGGCCGTTCTTCCTGCGCAAGGCTTCTGTCTTGCTGCTGTCGTCGCTCCCGCTGATGCCGGTGATGCTGGCGATGTTGTTGCTGGCGCGTCCCGCGATCCTCGGCATCTCCATTAATCGAGATCTACGCGAGCGAGCGTGTGCCCGCGCGCGATCGAGATCCACCTCCGCGATTCGCGCTCCTCACTCTGTCTCTCTCTCTCTCTCTCTCTCTCTCTCTCTCTCTCTCTTCTCCTCGACTCGATTCACTCGACGCGACTTGACGCGACTTCACTCCACTCGGGGGAGCGCGTTCATAGACACCCGTCCGCGGACAGGCAACGGCGTAGCGCCGAGATTCCCTAGGATCGCACGTATTCCGTCCACCTACGCGCGTATATATCCTTTTTTTCCTTTTCTCCTGCTCGCCGTATCAATGGTATCACCCAATTTGATATACTTTCTTTCTCTCTCTTTATATATATATATATATATATATATATATATATCTCACTGCCGCCACGACACGACGGCACGCCGAACTGACAAACGTGCTGCTTCGCGCTCTCTCTTTCACACACACACACACTCTCTCTCTCTTTCTCTCTTATTCCTCCGTTGGCCTGTTCCGTATTCCCATTTACTCGCATACACGGCGGACACGGTTGCTGCAGCGATATTTTCGCGTTACACGAATCTCGCACCGCACAAATTACCGTAAATTCGTCTCACCCGCGATCAAATTCCTCGCGGACAACGGGCCAGCGAACCTGCCCCTCACGCACGACGGGACATGAGTGAGTTAAGTTGCTACGGACACCGGCAGGCCTGTCAACCGCGACGACGTCCTCTCCAGTCAGTGATGTAGGACGGAGGGATTTTTGCGCGCATGCGCAGTAACTATATAACCTCGAGTGGTTATACGTGACCATAGACATAGTCATAGACATAGTATATCTAGACCGAGCGTTTGCCTTTATTTAAGGAGTATGTCCTTTTCTACGTGCACCTCGGCTCCCACTCCTCAACACTCGGTCTAGATATATATGTCTATGTACGTGACTTACCGTTTAAGTGGTATCGTCAGGCCCATCATTTGGAGGAATGTAAAGAATATGAAAAACAAATTATACAAAGATCTCTCCGTTAATTGAATAATACAATTTACAGATAATTGTAACGGATTTTACTAATGTTTGAAGTCTGATTTTTATTTGTTGCAAATTGCAGAAAATTTTATTGAATATTCTAACAAATATATTGGATTAAAGTTATAAGCATACATGATAAATAAAGTTTACTTTTTTAATATAATAAATACTCTCTTCTCTTTCCTCCTCTCATTTCTATATTTTATTGATATAAATGGTTAAAAAATTCATTAAAAATTTATATTTGTCCAAAAAACACTATACCTTGCATTTCCAAGTACGGATCTGACAAAGCAGTTACGTGGTTCGTTGCGTGAGGTGAGATTAGGAAAAATCTTTCTGTCCGATATCCAGCCCGAGATTGCCGGCTTCGAGACTCAGCTCATGCTACAAAAAATTAAAATTAAACGAAGAAAACATTTATATGACGTTCATTGAATAAAACCAGAAATTTTTAAGACTCGGAGAGATAATAGAGTTTACTCTCTCTACTTTGTCTGATTTTCACTCGCAGAAAATGACCAATCGTATAAAGCTTATGACGCGCATGCGCAATGTATGTGACTGCATTCTGAATTTTAATTTAGATTGGCAAGCGTGCCAGAACAAGCGCGCTTTACAAAAGTATACTTATTCGGATGAAAATTTCCTTTTACATACAAAGAACTGAATTTTCGATGTTTATATTTAGTTATTATTTCGTAATTCTTATATATGTTTTGTGACTGTATGTATAAAAGAAGCGGAGAAACGCGAAGACTGAAGATCGATATGACAGATTAGATGTCGTGAGTCTGGCGTGTGACGTAACAGGAACGGCTTTTCTAGCACGAAAAATGGCCGGCGCCGTGTGGGCCGAGGACGAGATCGGACGAAAGTGGGACCGTTGTTTTACGGATGCCATTCTTAAATTAGGTAATTAACATTTCTGAAATATTCGCGATGAGACGTATATTTTTTTGCAACGTTACTCACGGATTTGCTTTTTTTTTTTCAGGCGGTGGAATAGTCCTTGGCGGAGTGTTTTCTCTATTTTTCTTCAAAAGTAAGACCACTTTATGGATACGTATCATTGTATCGCTCTTGTGATGTAACTACAGTTATTATTATAACTCTGTCTCATCTCGAAATTAGAATTAATAAGTTTGTCTTTGTAGTTAATTTTCTTGCACTAGTTTACACTAAAAATGAGATAGATATTTATTTAGAAGTTGGAGAACAAAAAACTCAAAAAATTCAGCTACAAAATACATACTTATAGTATTATGATATTGTACATATGTATTACATATACATTTAATATATTTTGCTTTTTCTTTCAAAATTTAGTTTAATAGTCTGTGAAACAAGTTTATAATGAATTGTACAATATAAATTGCAATTTTATATATAACGTTAAAAAATAATATATATAATCTTTTTTCTTAACTTTGAATAAACTTATATAAATTCTTTTGTTTTTAATAGTTTTCACAGAATATTTTTTATAATTTTCATCTTTCATCTTACTTGTTTTTGCAAATTTTGATACATTATAGCAATTTGATAGATAATAGCATAATATTTGGACATAAGTACATGTTTAGATTTAATCAACCAAAACAAAAAAAAAAAGGAGGAATTGCACATTATCATGTCAAATTGCTCTCTTTAATTATTTCATAGTAAAATATATATATAAAATATATATAGTAAAGTATATAAAAATATTGAATTCTCTTTTTATAGGAAGGAGATGGCCCATTATAACTGGTGCTGGCTTTGGATTAGGCATGGCATATTCCAATTGTGAAGGAGATATAAATGCATCGATACATCAACAGACATCTAGGAGCTGTAAATCTGAAGGAAAGAAATAATTATTAGGATCTATTGTGTAAAAATAAAATCAAAGTTATTATTAAAATAAAAGTATATCAATAAATCCAATAACTGTGCTGTATTAATCTACTCTTTATATCTTTAATCTTTATTCTAGGTGAAATTTATTTTATATTTCAATCTCTCATATCACTATTTCTCGCCTTACCTTACACAATAGACAAGAAAATTGTTTAGTAAAAGAAATATATTTCTTCTATGGTGCGTTCATTATAATTGTTCAATGTAATAATAATGAGATAGAAAAATACATAACTATAATTATTGTACATATCGATAAATATTATTACGCATAAATATATAACAATTGTAATAATATTATTTTAAAAAAATACAAGATTTATATTTTTTTATTTTTCTTATTGTTGCTTAAAATTATTAAAACGCACACTTATGTATGTAAACTCTTTCATTAATTACTATAATTTATGTGTAACAGTAATGCTGGAAGTGTATATATGCAGTTACATATATAAAGTAGGAATTGTGTGTGTATATATATAGAGTTCGTATATACATTCAAACTCTAATTTATGTCTTTCAAACATTTATAATATTAACCAGTCATATTCTGCGACATGTATCAATTAATATCAACATTTTCATACAATTTCAGAATTTCCAAAATTGGTTTTGGCCATTTATTGTATTTGTATAATTTCTTAAAAGAAAAAGATGCATAATATAATGTATCATAAAAAACAGGAATGTCATACATGAAGCTATAATTTATATCAGTAGCGCAAACATACAAATAATTTCTGTGAACCATTATAATAATCTGTGATATGTATGTATTATACATAATTTATATATTATTAAATACAAAAAATTATATTTTAATTTGTAATAAAATCTTTCATTTGAACAAATTTTATTAATAATGTATGTAAAGAGATAAATGTGTAAATAAGTTTTAATTTTGGAGATTCTGATAGTTTTTCACATATATAGCAGAGCGAAATTTTTGTCTTTATTTGGCATCTTAGTATACCTTTAGGCTTTAAATATTAATATGCTCGATCAAAAGCAGGCATGAAAGAAATAATATATGATGTTTATATCTTAAGATTAAATACCATGCCCAAAAATTGTTCGTAGTGGATTGTTATAACACCATCCAGATCTGTGTCTAATCGTCTAAAAGCGGATGTCAAAGTCTAAAAATAGAAAAAAATATGGTTATTATATTATTGCATAAGAATTTCGCAAATATTTCAAAAGTTGGTAATCAAGGATATTTAAAAATGCAATCAAACATGTAAGACTAAAAAAATCAGCTACTCAATCAACATTATTCAATTCTATAATTTAGAATCAATAAGTCATTTAAACACACATTTAATTCATAGTGATCGTAATCAATTATTTTTATATAAATTAAAATTTTTACATAGAAAATCAATAGATATATACTTCTAGACAAGGTCAAATGACATAATGTCTAATGGGATAATTTAGATCGTTATGTGTATACTTACATATAGTACTATGCAGCACTGTATAAAGTCGTCAAAGTATATTGTTCCGCGACCTGCCCGATCATACTTTCTTATAAGTGTGTCAATTATTTGATCTGATAGTCGGTATCCAAAGTTTGTCAGAGCAGTCTTCAATTCGTTGCGGTCAATGTTACCACTGTTATCGCGATCAAATGATCGAAAACAATTCTCCCAATCAGTAACATATTTCCACAATGCTCCAAATTCTTCAAAACTCACAGTACCAGTTTGGTTTTTATCGAACATACCTGTAGCAGGATCGATTTTGTCAGTGTCAAACATACCTGTGCCAACAAAGTTAAAGAACAAAATGATAGCAATCCCAAAAGACCATGCAAATTAATATTATAATGCAATACTATCTCATAAGAATAAATAAAAAATATGCACTATAGATTATAATTTAAAAGGAATTTATATCCAATATTGGATACTAGTTGTTCTAGCACTAAGTGATAGATATTAAACTTTTAATTTAACACTACAGAGTAATTTACATGCAAAAATTTCAACAAGCAATTAGAAGAAAATTGCAAATATAATAAAATATAAATCAAATTTACATGGTCATTTGAAAATATTGTATGAAAATATTTATCTTACCAATCATTAGACGAACAGTTTCTGGATTAAATGGTGTCCATGTACCATTTGAGAGAGCTTGTTGTAATTCATCTGCAGTAATTGAACCAGATCTGTCTTTATCCACCCTGGAAGACCAAGACATTATCTCTTTAATTATCCAAAATTAAATATCACAAAACAACATTATCACAATTAATATTTTCATTATCTTAATCTTTATTTTATAATTTTATTGATATATAGAACAATGTTAAAATGAAAAATGGGATTCAAAACAGGGGAAAAAAATTTTGCTGAATATAAAACACATTCGTTTATTACAGTAATTAACTGTAAAATATGTATAGGTTAAAAACTAATAAAGAATTTGGAAACAATAGCTTGTTATGGCAGGAAATAGCAAGCATTCACGATTTCTAAAGAAATAATACGTTTTATATCGATTAATGATTAATTTATAAAGCAAAGAAATTACCTTTGGAATACGCTCCAAAGAAATTCCTGGCTGGGCATGGGCGAAACGAAAGACATTTTTCTGCCCCTCGTGGAAAAGCAGCAAGAAATATAATAGCAAAATCAAACAGTGGCAATATATCTTGCGTGATATTACGTTAGAAGCGCAGATAATTATTGACAATCGCCACTAAACGTAATCACTCTGACAAGCCGAAATTTCCCGAAAGCGTGATTGTTATTCGACACGTCACACGTCACTTTATGTACGACGTATGGCTTGCCTGATACGTTGATTGCGCAAGGCCTGTCATTGGGCGGTTGACTGTGACGTCAAAAAATGTGGAATCGTACACAAGCATCACTATTGTGCGTCTTTTTAAAAATACGTTGATATATAAAATTTCCTCAATATCAATATGCAATTTGAAAGTAAATTCATACCTAAATTTAATTTTGGTAGTCTAATATCTTATAAATTTGTTTTTAATATTTTTTTAAATAGTTTAATTTTTAGTTATTTTATTCTGTATTTAAAGAAAATATATATATATATCTGTTGTCATATTATAGTACACATATTATATAGAAACATTATATATAATATTCCATATACTATAATAATATATTTTATTATATAAAAACATTTTTACAAAAAAGATTAGGAAAGATCAATGGAAATAAGGATTCCTCCACAAACTTTTTATGTAATATTTAATATTAGTTTGTTTTGGGCTTATTTATCTTCCATGCGCCGATATTGTATCTAAGCCAGATAAAAAGTAAATCTCTGCCCATTTGCAACCAACTCCAAAACGGTATTATTTTGGAACCTTCAATTTCGATCCAATTTACTGCTATTTCAGTTATAGGAATATTAAGAGTCTGTGCGATATAAAGCATTTCTACGTCAAAAGCCCAGCGTTCGACATGTAACGCTTCAAATATCGTCCTCGCTGATTTTCTCGTTAGAAGTTTAAATCCGCACTGCGTATCTCTAATGTCTTTTACGCACAACAGCCAGACTAAAAAATGGAATCCGTGCATAAGGAATAATCGGAAGTAAGATCGCTTTGCGGTTTCTTCTTTTTCTAAATGCGCTCTTGATCCACATATTATCGCGTCCGATAATGCTGTTTTTTCAGGTTTGCTTGTATAATCGACTAAAACAAATTTATTACAACTAATAATCTCTCTCTCTCTCTCTAAGATTTGTAAGTATATAAGAAGAGTAATAGAATTATTACTTTTAAATGTAAATATATAATCTGTAGACAATATAATAATAGCAGAATCATAACTTTTTTTAAATATTGGCTGTAACTTACATCCTAAAACCTTTATTAAACTCTCATCTAATTTTTTTAGATCACTGAACTCGGTAGCACCATCTGCATCTGCAAATAACAATGCGCTGCCTCTTGCACTTAGCATACCCTTAAATCAAATAAAAAACTCTGAAATTTTATCAAAATATAAAATTAGGTATTAACTAGATCAAAAGGCTTAATGTCAATAGTTTAATATATATATTTTATATTTAAGATTTAATTTCGTTTATCAAATTTACTAACCAGTCTTACAGCACCACCTTTCCCTCTATTTTTAACAAGATTTAACACTCTCAGAGTATTATATTTTGATGCATAATTCTGTGCAACATTCACAGTTTTGTCTGTGCTGCCATCACTGACTACTATCACTTCATAAGTAAATTCAGATTCTGCACGTTTTTCTAAATATTCCAAACATTCATCCAACATTGCTGGCACTATTAAATACAAATAAAATTATATGTATATAATATATAAGTAAGATATAAATAACATATATGTGCAATAAATCTTACATCTCTGCTCTTCATTGTAAGCAGGTATAATGACACTGAGATGTACACTCCAAGGATCATGTAACGAAGGGAATGCTTCCCTCATCTCTGTTTGATAGTTGAAAAAGAACTTTTCATTTTCATCCCTCCAAATTTTGGGATACTGTTCACTTGTTATATATATTGTTACACAAAACTAAAATAAACATTTATATTATATTTTATAAAAACAACACTGTATTCATGATTTTTATAAAATATTATATAATTACTTCTTAAATTATATGCAAAATAACATATTGTTTGAAAAAAAAGTGTAAACATAAGACAGATAATTTCAATACATACCAAAATTATAATAAATATAGCCAGTGATATTCCGTAACAGAGCAGACAGCCTAGTGATAACATTCTGATACCGGAGAATATTTAAGAATTACGGAGTAACAGATAAAAAAATATATCGAAAATAACGTGCATATCTATTTTCCTTTCGTTCCGGTAGCATGTAGCATATGTTCATACGTCATACGTCATCTAAATGTGAGTCTGTTCGTTTTATAGCGTTTTCGAATGTAGCAGGTTTAATCCCTCTGAAAGCGATTAATGACGTCATCGCATCGTCTCTATCAATGAAAGACTTGAATTCATAGTAAAATATAGTGATTAATTGATCGGGTTTTGATTAACCTGTTCATTCGAAAATGCTATTAGTTGTACTTTTTACAATCAGTGTTGGGAGATAAAGGAACAAATCTCGCGCATGCTTAGTAACGCAATAGAAAGAAAGAGAGAGAGAGAGAAACTTATATAAGATTGCATTATGTTACATGCTCTTTAAAAAGAACTTGAAGAATTATATTGTTCTGTATGACGACTATCGATCCCTGCAAACAACTTGCATGCAAACTGCAAAAGTGCTTGAAAGGCTTGTACAATTTAATCTATTAAAGAGAGAGTATATATAAAAAAATATTATATATTCCTAACCTTATTTCTCTCTTGGAAAAAAAGATGCTGAAAGTTAGATGAAATAAGAAATTATAGTTTATGTTAATATTTATTTAATTCAAATAATAATGTAATAAACATACATCTTTGGATTTTACTACAAAATTTATTATAGGAACATATATTTTTCTGATTTTAGACAACGTCTATCAGCCTTCTCGTTGTCAAGAAATAATCGAAGAAATAAGAAAGTGTTGCCTGAAACATTCATCTATCTCTGCTGTTTGTGATGGCATAGATACTTCTAAACGATATGAACATAATACTGTTGATTATGTAAGTTCAATATATATTTTAATCAAACGTACAGCTTATTTATTTAATTAGAGAGAAAAAATTAAATATAATTATATTTTAATAATTGTAGAATATATGTTAATAATTAATTTTTAAATTTTGTTTTAGCGAAAAGTTTTAAAATAGACAATGTCTAACGAAATAAGAAGACAAACATTAGGAAAGAGAGGTTTTGCGTATCGTCATCCAAATATTTTTATTTTGACGAGTGTAACAATTTCTATGTGTATACTCTTCAGCAAACCTCTTTATGATATTTTTATTGCCGAACCACCAGTACAAGAAATGAAAATTACTCGTAAAATTTAAATTTGTACAAATTTGTTTTTGTGTAAGAATGGAGTCAGTAAAAAAAGCAAGGGAGAGATTGAGACAATATCCAGCTCTGATGATTCGATGCCAAGAATCGGCGTCAAGGTACGCATCTTGCGTGTTAGCGAAATCCAACTTAGAAAAGAACGCTTGCGACGCGGAATTTAACGAATTGAAGAAATGTCTTGTTAAAGCCGCCGCGGGCAGTTATAGAAGATTATAAACAAGCTTGAAGCTCAATCGATGAATATCTGCAAGTTTGATTTAATGCCGTACCTTTTAGCTGTACGAGAATGAATATTATACGCAATGAAATAAATAACTCGTCATTTACGTCACACTGTCTACTGGCGTTCGTTATACGATTAATCTTGATACTATATGCCAATTTTCACGACAAATACTTCGCCGTACCGTACACAGATGTGGATTATAAGGTATTTACTGATGCCGCTAGGCATGTAATAGAACAACGATCACCGTTCGAGCGTCATACTTATCGTTATTCGCCGTTTCTGGCTTGGTTCTTGACACCAAACATTATATTACACAAAGATTTTGGAAAGATTTTATTTTCCGTAATAGATATATTGATAGCAATCTTGATTAAAAACATCCTCACTCGACAGAAATGTAATGAGACTCTAAAACATCTCTGTGCGCTCTTGTGGCTCTACAATCCGTTAACATTGGTGATCTCGACGAGAGGTAACGCAGATTCGTTGGCTGTTTTTTTAGTTATAATCACATTAGATTTATTACAGCGAGATAAAATTGTACTGGCCGGGTTATTTCATGGGATATCCGTGCATTTTAGATTATATCCATTGATGTTTAGTTTACCCATGTTCTTGTCCTTATGTAAAAATAATCGTTTTCTGCCAAACAAAAATCAATGGATACTTATGTTGAGTTGCGCATTTTCAATTGTTACATTGACAATCACGGGCTATTATTTGTACGACTTCAAATTTTTGTACGA